AGTGTACTGAGCGAAAGTCAAAAACAGAAAGGATCCGGAGATTCACAATGAATTGAGGGGCAAGATGTCAATAGAGATTCTTCACCTGATCGCATAGGGGGACAATTTTAAAAATGGAGATAAGGCTGGTTGAAGGTTTCTTCTGTCATTTTAGGATTTCTTTTCAAACAATGTTAGATTTTTTTTTGCAATATGACTTCACTTGTTATCATTTTAATAAAGGTAAGTCAATGCATTTCATTACATTTTTCTCTTTCATTTGACCATTACTCCATGCTTTGTTACCTTTCATAACTTTATACTCCCTTTCTTAGATTTTAGATGATGAATATTTAGACAATGATAACAATAATTCTGAGATTTAATTTTGAGAACTCATCCACGTCAATGTGAGGAGATGATTTGAGCAAAAAGTAAGCTGTTACTGAAGGTGAAATAGATATGTCTTGAAGGTGTGCAATCTTTTATACAAGTTCATGAGCTTTGTTCAATAGATGATGTTCAAAAAAGGTATTCACAATTGAGATGAAAAATGGCCATCTTTTTTTTACCATTTGAAAAACCATTTATTGTTACCCCTTTGAGCTTATCATTTTTTTTTTTTGAAGAACCCTAACCAAGGATCACCCTCTACACTGGAGGGTAAATTTTGTAAAAAAAAAAAAAGAAAGAAAACACCACAAAAGGTCTCAAAAATGGAAAGAGGAAGAAAAGCAAAAGAAAAATAAAAGCCACACATGACTTGGGGTAAAGTAATGAAAATCTTTTGTGTGAGGAAAGAAAAAGTAGTGAAACGATGTGGGGGCAAAATGCCAAGTTGTATCAAATGATCCTTTGGTTTTGAACCTTTTTAATACATGTTTTGAGCCTATTATATCTTTTTTTTATGACCCTTCACCTTGGCTTACATTACAACCTTGAAAAGTCTCTTTGGATCAAATGTGAATACTCAACTTGAATGATCATAGGTTGAGCAAAGACATGCTCATGATGAAGCAATGGAATCATGCTACATGAAAGATATCAACAATGGATGAAAAATGAAAAAAAAGATGAAAAAAAAGAAGAAAAAAAAAAGAAAAAAGAAAAATGAGAAAATAAAAAAATGATATTCAAATTGAAAACCTACAAGGTTGATTTTGATAGAAAAAGACCCAGGTCAAATGGCTCACATGAATGGAAGATCAAAGACGTCTGAAGATCCCTCAAAGACTGGGGTAAAGTTCGCCAAGCTCAAGATGGCTTCAACAGTAAATGGAATGAGTTTTTGAAAAAGAATCTTAGATTTAATGTTGAGAATTGTCTGAATATTCATCATTTGGACATACCATCCATTCCAATGACATATATCCAATCTATTTCTTTTTCCATTTGTTCTGTACCAAAATAGATCTTCATTGATTATCTTTACCATTGATAATTCACCTTGTGGTCTCTTATTATTTCACCCCTAAAATGAATTGAGAAAATGCTTGATTGCATTGTATTTGTCAAGAATTGAAATGATAATGAATGAATGAATATGTGCTTAAAAGAGTCTTGTATTCATTTGAAAAGAAATCTAAGATGATGGTGGTAACAAAATGAAGAAATGGTAGAAACCTAAAAGAGATGATATATGATGTGATCAAATGAAGAATATAATGGGGCAAATCTTGAAAAGTGATATAACCAAGTGATGAGTACAAAGATGAATTGGTCGATATGACTTGCAAGTTATGATTGAATGATGAAGACAATCAGTGGATAGAATTATTTTGGAATGGTTAATGCTGAGACACCTATGAGTAATGACCCAGTGATGGTGGATGAAACTTGTTAGTGCTGAGAAATTCATTGAATGATGGTCAAGTGATGATCGATTGATGAAGCTTATTCCAAAGTATTGAGGAACTGAACAAGGAAGAATGTGAGTGGAAAAGACAATTGAGAGCTACACTGGTTTGGTCTTAGAAGAGCAGTGTAATTGGATCTCTGAAGAATCAAAAGGCTTAATGTCCAAGAAAAGAGCTTAAGAAACTTGAGTACCATACATTGAATAGGAATTAATTGGCCAACATCTGCATAACATGCATTGAAATTCATATGCATTTGCATAGCATACACTACTTTCAAGAAAGTATAGTGTACAAATTCAAGAAGCAGGGGTGTTCCAACATCCCACATGGAGAAGACAGATATGAAAAGATTTTGCAAGTTTGAGAAAAAACTTGTTAGGTAAGTTCCTAATCCTTGAAATAGGATGTCTTTTGGTATCAGGGTTGATTTATAAGACCTTTGGGCATGATCTCCTGAAATTCCCTCAAACACAACTTTCAACTCCTGATTGTCTAGGAGTATTTACTTTTCCAAGTTCGTTGCCTCTGTTTAGAGGAGCAATTTACTTTTCAAGTTCGTTGCCTCTGTTTAGAGGAGCAATTTACTTTCCAAAGTCGTGGTGCCTCTGTTCGTTGCCTCTGTTTAGAGGAGCAATTTACTTTTCAAAGTCGTGGTGCCTCTATTTAGAAGAGCAATTTATTTTTTCAAAGTTCTGTTGCCTCTGTTTAGAGGAGCAATTTACTTTCCAAAGTCATGGTGCCTCTGTTTAGAGGAGCAATTTACTTTCAAAGTTTTGTTGCCTCTGTTTAGAGGAGCAATTTACTTTTCAAAAGTCGTGGTGCCTCTGTTTAGAGGAGTAATTTACTTTCCAAAGTCGTGGTGCCTCTGTTTAGAGGAGCAATTTATTTTTCAAAGTCGTTGAGCCTCTGTTTAGAGGAGCTTTGGTCAAAAAAATAAAAAAATATATAAAAAACAAAAAAAACAAAAAGTGACAACGTTGAGTTGAGTCTTGATTGGGTGTCTACGTCTTTGCGTAATTTCTGTTTCACAGAAAATGTGCAAAGAGGGGCAACTGTAGACACCCAATTGGGTCCAGGCCCAGATCAATTGGGCCTGGCCCAAATGGGTAAGACCCAATTCAATTTTTATCCTGTATTTTTTTTTCTGTTTCTTTTGTATTTTATGTATTTTATTATTTATTATTATTATTATGTATTAATATATATATTTATTTTTTTTATTATTAGATTAGATTTATATGTATATAGCTATATATTTATTATTATATTATTATTATTATTTTTTGTTTTTGTTTTGTAATATATTTTTGGGTTTATCTTATTTTATTTGTTATTATTTTTTTTAATTATCTGTTCTGATTTTTTCCCGATTTTCAAATATTATTTTTTAATTTTTTTTATACTATAATATCTTTTGATTTATCTTTTCCAATTATCTAGTATTTTTTTTTATTTTGATCTTAATTTTGGATGGCTGGGATTAAAAGATGAAGAATCCCATTGTGGAGGGGAACTCAATCAGAAGAGTCCAATTGGATTCAAAGATTGAATCCCCGTCCAAGGAGGAATTGAGATTGATCAGGAACTCCTGATCAACCCCTATAAAAGGCACCTCCTCGAACAGATGCTGAGGGGAGAAAACAGTGAGCAAAGCTACTGATTTGAGAGAAAAGGAGGCGTATAGGAAGCTAGGAAAAGTTTAGGAGTGTTTTGGGAGTGAGAAAAAATTTTTAAAAATTTTTGACGAAAAATTTTTCTGGAAATTTCTGGGAAATTTCTAGATTCCGACGAAAATTGAAGTTTCCGACGAACATTGAAGTTTCCGACGACCTGCCCAGTTTTCGACAAATAATCCCAGAAATCGGTGATATTCCGGCCAACTTCTGGTGAAATTTCCAGATTCCGACGACATTTTCCAGAATCCAACACCGGTGTTCTTCAGCTTTTAGAGAGAAGGGAGAGGAAAAGGGAAGAAGAGAGAGAGAGGGGAGGAGCGTTCTGCCGAAAAACGAAGGGGATTGCCTTTTATACCTTCCCAAAACGACGTCGTTTTGGCCTTAAGTAACCAGAGGATCCGCGCGTTTTACCGAACCCGACCCGACCCGAGCGTCGACCCGCTTTCTTGACCCGCGCGTGCTGCCCCTCCTCCAAGCCGAGCCGAGCTTTCGAGCTGCTCCCCCCGAGTCGTTTCCCTGCCTTGAGCCGAGCCGATAGTCGAGCCGCTCCAGGTTTTTTTTTTTTAATTTATTTATTTATTTATTAGATTAGGTTTATTTAATATTTTTTTTATCTTTATTTTATTTTTATTTTTGTTTTACTTTATTTATTTTTATTTATTTTTTTATTATTCTATTTTCTTTAAATAAAGATAAAAAATTCCAAAAAAAATATTTTTAGGGAAAAGTTGAAAGTATCAATTTTCCTTAAAAAAATAAATAAATAAATTTTCAAAGAAATATTTTTGGGGAAAAGTTGAAAGTATCAATTTTCCTTAGAAATAAATTTTCAAAAAAAATATTTTTGAGAAAAGTTGAAAGTATCAATTTTCCTTGAAAATCGAAATTTTCAAAAAATATTTTTTGGGAAAAGTTGAAAGTATCAATTTTCCCTACACAAAAAAAAAATCATTCTTTCATTCCTTTCTATTTTGATTTTTTATTTTGATTTTTCTTTGACTAATCCGACGACGGAGCCTCTGCAAGTGAAACAGTAGTTTTTCTTGCATACTCTTGAGGTGAGGGAATTTTTTCAATTTTCTGCTAAAAGTATTAGAGTCAATTGAGAAAAATTTCCAATAATTAATTACTTGGTAAAATTTTAAGGCTTTTGGATAACACGAATTTCAGCTGGTACCATCTTTTGATGGGCGTTGTGAGGGTGCTATAACCTTCCTCACACGTAACCGAACTCCCGAACCCTGTTCTGGTTTGTAGACTTGAACCTATTCTTTTAGGGACCCTTAAACTTAGGTGTTCCCTGAAGGGACAGATTCTTTAGGTGGCCAATCGCACCTAGATAAAAAAGATTGGTGGTGACTCCCTAAAAGTCAATGTCTAACAATAGATCCCCGGATCTAGACGTTATGAAATAAGTAATTAAATAATATTAATTTATATATAAATATAAACATATTTAAATAAATAAAGATAATCCGAGTAACAAAGTAGCTATTATATATTCCAAATACATATAAAGCACGAGAGGTGTGTTGGGAGAGAGTCAAACGCTCAAACGCTCTACAATTATTGCATGCGCACATGCTGGCCGTGAAAGAGCTGAATTCTTCTGACTTTGTTAAAGCTACAAAGAGAAAATTACTGTCGGATCTTGTGGCTCAACCATTGTGATAGATAGAAAGACAGACATCCACGATTTCAACACAAGGGAAAAAGCCATTGGGTTGGAATTGGAGTTGAAGGCCACCTATGTTTGAAAAGAGCTACTACACCTTTATCATTTTAAGGGTAAAATTAAAAAAAAAAAAATCTCTAATGGCAGGCTCTTAATTAATACATAACAACAAAACCAAATAAGAAGCTTTGAGACGCCAGCCAGCTCAAATAAAGCTGTTAATAATGGCGCCTTAGGCGAATGGGAAGGCCTTTTTCTGGTGTTGGCATCATATCTCCAACAATCTTTTCCTTTGGATGCAGCAATTCCCACTTGAACCTTTTCACAACGTTGTGCACGAATGTGAGTATAGCCAGTCGAGCATACTCTTTTCCAGGGCACATTCGAGGTCCACCTCCGAATGGAACAAACGTAAATGCTGGGAAACTATTTCCTTCATCGTATCTTGAAGGATCAAATTTCTCCGGTTCTGGAAAGTATTCTGGGTTCTTATTTGTTGTGCTAACCGTCCAATATATCTGCACACAGTACAGTACTGGAGATTAGGCTTAACTAATTAAGTCAAATGCCAACTGAGTTAGAATAACAAGTACTATAATACCTTCCACCCCTTTGGAATAGTGTAACCAGCATAACTAAAATCTGTAAGGGCCTCCCTGAAAGTTCCCTGAAGTGGAGGTGTGATTCTCATTACTTCATATATTACATTCCAGGAGTACTTCATCTTCTGCATGTCATCCCAATCCAACAGCTCCCCTGCCTTTTTGGTAGCCTCAACTTCTGATTGCTCTGGGTTTAAAAAAAACAATTTACAACAAAACTATTTAGTAATCTGCTCAAGTTTTACGTGAGTAAATGAGGATGAAAGTTGTTTACCTGCTAGAATTTTGGCATAGATGTCAGGCCTCTCTCCAACGTATTTCATGAAGAAAGTCATAGCAGTAGCCACAGTGCTGTACCCTGCAACCAGCAATCCCATAATCTTATCCGCAATCTCAGCCTCGGGCATGTATTTTCCAGACGGGTCAGTGGTCATAATCATATGACAAAGTATGTCCTGCATAGGCGCTCCTGTTGCCATGGCAGTTTTCTTCTCCTTTATAACTTCTCGTAGCTCCCTACGGATTGCAGCTGCCGCCCTGTTTGCCCTGTAAAATATTGTCCCTGGAAAATTTACAGGAATAGAATGCAACCCCAAGGTAATATCATCGAAGTTGCTAACAAGCCTAGAAATACGCTCAGGCTCATCTGTGCCCAAGAAGAAGCGACATGCGAGAGTCAAGGTCAGGGTCTTAGCAAGAGGGAAGACCTTCACTTCATCTTTGCCTTCCCAATATTTCTGCATCTGTTGCTGAGTGATAGAGTCCATTTTCCCCAAATACCTCACCAGAGCTTCAGGCTTCAGGAATCCTGGAGAACGCAGAACTTTGGCCTCAGCATCCCTGCTAATTTTAACTTGTGCAGCAGCCTGGTAAGAGCGAAATACTTTTTGCATTGAATGAGGTCGGAAAGCTGTGAAGAGCTTTTGCTCATTGGAGAAAAGAAACTTGTGTCCCTCAGGCCCACATATGACAGCAGTTTCCTCCCCAAGAATCTTTGTCTTGAAAATATCAGAAGAGTATTTGTTCATCCTATCAAACACAAACTTCTCCGGCTTCCCAAACAGAAACTCAAGAGTTTCACCCATGATAGGCCATCCTAAGCTCCCTGGAGGAAGATCTTTGGCACCACTTGATCTGGGTCTGGGTCTGGGTCTGAGTGCAAAGATGGCAACAACAAGAACAATAGGAGCAAGTAAAACAATTAGAGAGAGCTCCATGGTGGTTGCTTAATTGTAAGCACTTAGAGAAGAGTGGGAAAATGAATGTCATTCGGCAGTGAATTGTGTTTAATTTATATAGCTTGAAAAGCCCGTCTATTCTTTATTATTATTATTATTTTGAGCTAATAGTGCAAAGAAAAAATTTTCCTTATTGGCACTTAATTCAAATAGTATTAAAATGACTAAAGCTTTCATATTCATAATTATTAAAATTTTTACAATTATTTTGATGTGATTTCATATTTTAAAAATGTTATACAATAATTTTATTACTAATAATTTATTATATTTTTTAATAAGTACCATTAAGTTATCATTCAACTATATATTTATTTTTCATTTAATTATACAAACGAATTTTCAAAATATTTATTAATAAAAATTTTCTCTTTATTATTATAATAATAATAATTAATAGAATTAGTACTAATTTTAATAATAAATAAACTGAACCAATGAAAATCTTTAAACTTTATTTAAAACATATATAATTTGGGAGGATGAAAATCGTCAGCATTGAAGCACAGATGAATTGTTCAAAATCTGACTATAACTTAACTCAAATAATATTAAAATAACTACATCTTTCATATAAGTCATAATTATTAAAATTTTTACAATTAACTTTAACGTGATTTCATGTTTTAAAAATATTATATAATAATCTTATTATTAATAAAATTTAATATATTTATTAATATACACAATTAAATTATCATTTAATTATGACAATAAGAATTAATGAAAGTCTTTCAACTTTATTTAAGACACATAAATCGAGCGTAATTTGCAAGGATTCAAATCGTCAGCATTGAACCAGCACAGATGAAGTGTTCAAAATTTGACCATGGAGGGGTTTGGTTTTCTAACTCTATCGTAACTGCTGATTACTTCATACACATATAATTTTATTCATTCATTCAATTCAAGGCGTGTCTGTTTCCTGTTAATGCGACCTTTTCAATCACTTTTGGTTGGATTTGGACAGAATTTGGTTAAAGTTTATATGTCAACTTCTGTAAAGACGGAATTTGATTAAGTAAAAACTAGCATTTACACGCTTAATTTGTTCTATTTTTAATAAAAAAAAGTTTTAGATTTTTCTATTAAAATATTTATTTATACTAATTTAATATTAAATTAAAAGTATGAAACTAATTCAACTAATGAAATTATTTAAAAGCTTAATAAAATAATTAATATTTCGGATGATTGATTGCGTACTTTTAAAGTTTTTTTTTTTTTTTTATGATTTTGAATCTTTCAAGTTATGATTTTGAATTTTTAAATTAATTTTTATTTAATTATTTTTAAAAAAATCTCACGAAATCAATTTTAAAAGCATATTGAAATTATCGTAACCATTTTTTGACTTTATCCTAAAAGTGCTTTAAGTAAATCTAATCATCAAGTACCCCACTTAAAGGAATTGTGCCTTGAAAGAAAGTGTCTGCCATTTAATTTAAGATAAACTTCAAATATACTACTTGTGATTTACAACTTTTTGTTATTACATTATTTTATTTTTTTCTTATAATTATGTGATTTACCTAAAAGGGATTTAGACATTAAAAATAAATGAGGATAATTTTATAATTTTACTAAAATTTGCTTGATTTTTAATGTCATTACTTTTTTTAGTAACAGAAGTGAACCACAAGAATATAAACAAGAAAAAATTTTCATAAAAAGTGTAAGTGAGAAAGTTGCAAATCATAGGGGTAATATGTGAAGTTTTTTTTTTTTTTAATTTTAATAACAAAAATTTTTTATTAAAGCTAGTGTTTGATATATTTTCAAAATTATTATGATAATTTAATTAGCAAAGCGATATTATTATTAAAGTGATTTTATCACTAGTGATTTGGAATCATTTTTTTTTGTTAATAATTATTAATTTTTAAAATTAAATATAATTATAGTTCGTATTATTAAAAATCAAAAGTTATTTTGTTTGAAATAAAGTATCAAAATAATTATGTATATCGTGATAGTTTTACAAATTAATGATTTTAATATTATTTAAAAATAATAATTTGTAAAATATTAGCATTATTTCATTTATTTCATAAGATCATCCTTTTTTGTAAAAAGATTTCACTTATACATATATATATATATATATGTGTGTGTGTGTGTGTAATACGATGAGAGATCAATTTATACCTATATAAAACTTTTAATTTTATATTTTTTTAATTATTAATTTTAATAAATTCAAGACATAAAATTAAATCATTTTTTGACTTATCCCTCTCATTTTTGAATAAATTAAAATCAATTGTTAAAAAGAAGATGTAAAACAAAAAAATTTTTTATACTGATGTAAGTTGATCTTTGTTGCATAATATATATATATATATATATATATAAATACATGTATACTGTATGGCAAATCTTTTGTTGGAATTTACCTTTATATTATATATCTGTAAAGGAAACCTAGGGGCCGGCTATGGCCATTCTCTGTCCCTGGTTTGCATATCTACCACATCATTATTCATATGGTCAAAGTATTTTACTTATTGGTATTAATTAAAGTAAATGAAATATCACAATCTAATGACGATCTTTATCAGATACCATTTTTTTTAATTATTATTTTGTTCATTCATACCATTCTGCTTAATTTGACTTAATCAAACTTGTAACATTGGTAATTTAATTAAGGAAGAACAAATCTCTTTCCCTTTGTATATACATATATAAAGCTTTGATCTGTTCCAATTGGCAATTGCAAGCAACTTTACACATGGACCAAGCCTAGATTTCATCTTTGGGGGTCCATTTCTTCACCAATGATTGTAGAGCATCAATTTTTTTTATATATATGTGGCTACATTTTCAGGACCGTATAAAAAGGTTGACTCAATTGCTGCCTGCCCTTTGTACAAAATTGATGAATTTTTTTAAGTAATAAAGAAGATCTTTCGCAGAAACCCAACAAATAAACAAAATTCTAATACAACAGAAAGCATTGACCATGCGAGAAGTGTTCAAACTCTACCAAATCAGTATCTTACACTTGAGATTTTAAAATTCCAATATTGAATAGACAGGCCTGTTTTATATTACAAAGGAAATCAAAACATGCGTATTGCTTGTTGTGCCATCAACCATTTGTTAGATTTTATATATTATTATTAGGTAACTATGCAGCAACAGCTGCACTCCTTTGACCGCATCATCTATTGTCCAAATTTTCACTTGTAGTCCAACTCTAAACCACATAATTAGATGCCAAAAGGTTAAAAAAAATATTTGAACTAAAATTTAATATTTATTTAAATTATTTTAATAAATTAAATTATCAAATATTTATTTTCATCAATTAAATTTTTGTTAGAGAAAAATAATTAATTGTTTCCGTTCAAGTGAGGATTTAATTGAATAAAAATAGATTTATAACTATTCAAATTGGACACGTACAGCTTTGTTGAAGGTACATGACTGCATGCAACATGGATACAAGACGAATACAGGAAGGCTGGAGCCATATACATGATTCATAGCTTCAAACTCAAAATAATTGAACTAAAACCGAAATTTCAACACCTGAAGCCCGACGACTTGGACTCAAAACAAGCGATCTTGTTTGATTACAACTTCTGAGCTTTACCTATTAGATTAGATACTACTGGTGGACATGCCACTTAACATCACTATAATGATCACCTGTCCTCTTTTACCACAGGATGAGACTTTCAAATTCTCACTCAGTACAATCTTTTCCTGTCTCATAAATTAAGCTGTCTATGGTGATCATAACAATTTATAAATAGACACATGATGATAAGGATGTTTCATCAAGCCGGCCTGCATCAGCCCAATGTTTCTGTTTAATACCTGGGACCCTCTTATACACAAAGTAAACCAACTTGGATTTATGGGTGATGTAATTGGCTGGCTCTCAGCCTCCCGTGCATCTTTGTATAAACAACAAGATAAGAAAAGGAAAGAAAAGGTCATCGGCCTACCATCTCATTGTCATCGTCAGGCACCAGTAGAAGAAGTTGAAGCCAACACCGATGTTAGAATAATTACCAATGTTGACCTAAGGGATGTCTTCATAAATGAGATGCAGCAATAGATCCTTCAACTATAACATCGATTGTATATACAAAAAGAGAAAGAGGAGATAAGAAGGCAACGAAGGAGAAATGAAGAAGATGAAGGAGAAACCAATCCATTCTATGAAAACAATAGTGATTCTGATGATAGGACCTTATTTCACTCACTATAAGTTAGAGACTATCTATGCAGAAGCCAACTTCAACCTAGCATATTCAATTCGAAAATAGAAATTTCTGAGTTCGAGGAAAAAATGCAACCTAAAAAATTCTTAGATTGGCTACACACGGTGGAATGCATATTTGAATACCATGATGCCCTTGAACATCGCAAGGTGAAGCTAGTGGCCATCAAACTTAGAAAGCATGCATTCTTTTGGTGAGAAAATCTGAAGAAGCAAAGGTAAAAAGAAGGTAAGAGAAAAATTGTAACCTGGGATAAGATAAAAAGAGAGTTGAAGAAAAAGTATCTCTCAAACAACTTTCGACAAGATGTCTTCCTTAGACTCCATAACTTGAAGTAAATGAATCTTTTAGTGGAATAATACATCAACAAAGGAAGCATGTCCATGACTAGTGTTTCTACCAAACTCTTTTCAAATCTACACATAAAAAAGGGATGAGCCATTCCCAACAAACCACAATCTAGTGTTATCAACACTCAAACCTAAAGAGACTTTAAGTGCCAAAGAGTTGGGCATATACATTCTAAGTGTTCAAATCTCAAGATAGTTACATTGGTTGAAGATAAAGTTCTTGAAAATGCTAAAAGAGAACCTATTGAAGTACATCAAGATCTCAAACAAGGTGTTAAGAGAACCTATAGTGATCTTGAGTCTTCACTTGTTATACAATATAGCTTGAGTGATGTGCATGTTGAGGAGAAGATAGCCCTTTTGAAATTATTCTTGATAAGAATGCAATATATCCTTTGGATTTAATTTAATTTTATA